AATCCTCACCCGTGATTCCTTGAGTAATTGTCTTAGTTTTATTTACCCTTTGAGATTTTATTTGAAGCTACGAAACTCAACGTAACAACGTTTTAAAATTTTTTTTTATAAAAATAATTTTTGTATTCAAATTTACAATGCCAAGAACTTATCAAAAAACCAAAGAATCATTTGTAAAAAAATCTAATAAACCCAAACAATATATATCAAAAAAAGTTCCATATTATTGCAATAAATGCAAAGGTCGCATAGTTGATCCATGTACAGAAAAAAACACAATTCAAAAAGGGATATTAGACTAAGAGGAATTATTGAAGATACACAATCTATAGATTTAAATCAAGATTTGCTAAATCAAGGTTCACCAGTAGTTCTTTTGGATAATTTGATTGATGTTAACATATCAGATAGTGGTGATTATCATGAAACTGAATGTATTCTTAATGAAGAAAATTACTCGTTTCTTCCTAAAAAATCACCAAAAGGTAAATCAAGAAATAAACAAATAAATATTAGTAGCAAGAACGTAGTATATCCTATTGAACAAAATATTTTCAATGATGACAGTAATGATGATAATAATGATGATGAAAATGATGATTTTATTAAAAAAATGCTAAATGAATATAAACCTTCATCCATAAAGTTCAATGTGCCAGAGAATGTATATAGTGATGATCTGGAAGTACCTATCCCTGATTTTAGTGAAGGTTTTAATTAGATTGTTTTATAGATTTTGTTATACTAAAAGAGGTTTCAATTATCCGATGTAGCTACTGATACTTTAGTCAAATTCATTAGATATCTCCTAGTTAACCTAATTGCAAACACTTATAATTCTTTTCCAACATCACTATATATGACACGTAAAAGTCTTGATGTTTGCGTTTATATTATAAAATATGTAACATGTGTAAAATGCTGCAAACTATATAATGTATTAGAAGTATCAACTAACAAACTTAGCCAAGTTTCAACCGCAAGTTAGTGTACTTATGTAGATTTTTCTAATCATCCAATGGCAAACCAAAGGGTACAATGTGATACTAAACTTGCTAAGAAAATTCCTATTACAAATGGAATAGTATATCGTCTCTCTATAGTATTCTAATAGTTAGTTTAAAGCATTAATTGCAATTAATGTATAATCAAAAAGAGTTTAAAGAGTCGTGCAGGAAATGGGCAGATCAATATAATGATACTAAATATTTAAATGATATCTATAAAAGAAGAATCTGAAAGATCTTTCAAGACCTAATGAAGATTTACTATTCTTCTAAAAAGAAGTATCAGATCGTCACTTGGGTATTATATTAAATCTTAATTAGTTTCAACCATTCAATCATACAAGTTATAGTGTAGGAGCTTTATATGGTGTGATTTATAACCTTCCTCAAAATGAGAGGTTTAATCTATTAAATATATTAATGATGGCTCTAATTCTGAATCTAAACGAGTCAAGCTTACACAATTTAAACCATTATTTATCTCCAGTAATTGACCAATTAATTGAATTGTGAGAAGAGGTTAAGTTATTAGCAACATATGAAAGCTCTAATGGTATATCTATTCGAGCCACAGTAATATGCTATTCTTGTGACATTCCAGCTGTAAAGAAATTATGTGGCCATATATCAGCACATGTAGCTTATCATAGATGTATAAAAATGGCTCAATATGATGATCGTGATCAACTGAATTTTAGTGAATTTGATGATATTAATGAATGGTTTATTGAAAGAGATATCGATCAAGTCTGAAAGAATGCATAAGAATGGTTAGATTGTAATACCAAAGATGCTAAAAATAGTCACGTTCATAATACTTTAGTACATTAGTTTGAAGTATACCATCTTTCATATTTTGATTCTGTGCGATTTCTTGTAGTAGATCTCATGCATTGATTGTTTTTAAGAATCGCTAAATGGATAGTAATACGATTATGGATTGTAGAAAGTTGATTAACACAAAAGATCTAGAAACAATGCAGAAGAGAGCAAATTTAATAAAGGTTCCATCAGATATCAGCAGAATTCCATTCAAAATTACTACAGTAAAAGGATTCTCAGATTTTACCGCAGATCAGTAGAAAACCTTTGTCTTAATTTATACTACTTCTATAACATGGGATCTACTTCAAGAATCAGATAAAATAATCTTTGCCAATTTTATTCATGTATGCAATATACTTGTATGCAGATCTATATCCAAAGATGGGTTAGAAGAAGCTCACAAACGTCTTCTAACAATGGTAAAACTTATAGAAGATAATTATAGCGCAGAAAAAATTATGTTGAATCTACATTTATACTTGCATATTTGCCATTATGCATTAGACTATAGACTATTATATGCATTTTGGTATTTTAGTTATAAACGAATTAATGGTCTATTGGGTAATTCTGATATTCTTTTTATTAAATTAAATTTATTAATTGAATTTTATTAAGTTATTTTATTATTATAGGTTTGTATCATAGCAGTAATAGAAGTATTAAACCAGAATTACTGAAAATTATTCAATATAACTCCTTTATTAATCAAATTTCTTCATATATTCAAGGCAAACAATATTTATCAGCTTGTTTACCTTTAATAGTACCAAAAGAAACTACTGGTAGTCTTGCAGTTTAAGATGAATTTAATGAAATGGACTACTGGGATTTTTTATTAATGTCTAGAGATGTGGAAGAATTGGCTGGAATAGATTCAGAATCTTTTTCAGGTGTTTTTCTTAATTCTAAAAATACAAACACAAACCTTTTGAAAGAAATATTAGATTTATTAGTTGAGTATTACTGCAATACTTATGATAGAAATTTTGCAGTACTATCAGATATCTATGTCACTTCACCTAATGCTATACCGGTACTTCTGAGAGTAAATATTTATAGATAATTGCAACTTAGCTCTGAAGTTTTTGGATCATTATATTCTAAAAGACACGTCAAATCAGCCAAAATCTTATCCCAATTTCTCTATGACAATAATAAAGACCTTTATTCTGAGATTGTTCAAATTTATTTAAATACATTATGCATCTTCCAGAAGGATTCAAAAAACATTCGTTAGTATTTGTAAAGTGGTATCTTCTGGCTGAAAATTAAAAAACCAGATTTCACTGTATAGTTAATGGCGATGATAAATTATGCAATATAGAACTATGGAAAAAAGAATTTTATAATCTTAGTAGGGATTGTATTATCCCCATACATAATATATTTGGCCAGTTTGTTGAAGGTTCTTTTTTAATAAATCAAAAATAATCTCGTAAATATATGTCAATGATTTCACTTAATAGAAAGTTTCACGTTTAAGATTTATGATATATGCAATTAGTATATAGGTATAGACAGAATTAAATATAAATTTATTTTTAATAAAGTCCATAAATAATAAATTTAATAAATTTAATAAATTTGTTATAATTATTAAAACTATTAACAAATTACAATATATAGATGCGTCTTATATTTCTTATCATTTAATATTAATAGCCCTATTGGATATTATTAATCAGAATATCAAATTTTTGATATTTTACCTATACTCTTTAATAGATTAATGATATACTATTACAAATCGAAACTTTATTTATTGTTTATCAGAAAACTGGAAAGTGTTTAACTTAATACATATTATTCACCTATCAAATTTGATATGTATTATAAACAAACAATCAGCATCTTATATAATAAAATCAATAGATCTATTGGGATTATGATTATCAACTGATAAAAAAAATACCAGCTAGTTAAAAATCAGAATCTGATTTAGTTCTGATTCTTAACTAGCTAGAAATATCCTGATTCTTTATTATTCAACCTGTGTTATATAGTAACAAATAAAGATTAGCTCTAATAAAACAAATTCTTATTATAAATTTTCTTTATCAAGTTAAGCAAACAATATTATGCATAATACCTTAAATATGGAAGTTTATGATATTTTTCTTTTTTAGTAAATATCATATAATGATATGTAATAACTGTTTGACTTTATGCTAAAAATTTGTTAGTCATATAAAGATTTTGTATAGTTTATAAAAATTTTATGTTACATAATATTCAATTTCTGAGTTTTGACAGCAATAATTAATAGAGCATATAAAGATAAAGGATTAGAAGAATATAGAGCTCAGAAAGTATAACCAGTCAGAAATTTTATTTTTGAAATTTTAGAATCATAAAATTGAATTTCACTTTTTTTTAAAAAATTATATTAATTAACAATTATTTAGCAATAATAAAAGAATACTAAAAAGCTAGAGATACACCACTTAACTTTATTTGAAAAGGTTTTAAATTTTATATTAACTAAGATTTTCAGTTCTAATATAGTATAAACATTTTTTAAGCTATACTTTTACGCTTAATGAATAGTATATAGAACTTTTTCCCTTTAAAAGGATATAATTAAAAACCAATATTGGGTATAGTTACAAATCAGGTAAGTATTTTAAATACTATTTAATAAATTATAAAATCATCCTACTATGATACTATTATATAATCTATTAATTTATTATATTATATAATTATTATACAAAAATTTTAATTGTTTGTTAATCATTCATAATATTATATAATAATAATAATATCTTTAAGTTTAATATTATATTCAATATATTTAGTATTATATTTAGTATTTATATTGAATATAAGTCATCAATAAGTTAAAGGAAGCAGATCAATATACTGTAAAATTAAACACACTAATCATTGCAATAATCATCACTATTTAAATATTAAAGCAACACACTGATCACTTAGCACAATAATTATTGCCATTGATACCATATGAAGTCAATCTTACTGCGTCACAAAGATTGACGAATGATCAATGTTATTAACATCATTAGCATTTTTAACTTAGTTAACATTTTTATTTTATTTAT